GCCAGGTGACAATGGTGTGTGTGTGTGTGTGTGTGTGTGTGTGTGTGTGTAGCAGCACAGGGAGTGGCCACCTCTCAAAGAACACCCGTCTAAGAGGTGGACATGCACACGGGCCTTTGTCCTCAGGATGCCTCTTGGAGGGAGGCAGCGTTGTCAACCCTTGGCCTGGTGAGAAGCCGGGTGACAAGCCCCCACTAGCAAGCACAGGCAGACTCAGGGCTGCGCCCTCCCAGCCTGTGTGGTAACCACTGCTTCCCACTGGCTGCCAGCTCTGGATCAGGCCTCGGGGAGGGGGGTGGGGGGGCCTGGAGCCCCAGTAAGACGTGTGGACTTGGAGGACAGGAAGTCAGTTGTGGGGGAGCTGAGCAGCAGGGTGACTGCTGAGTGGAGGGCGGGGGGGTGAGGGGGTGCTGGAGGCGCAGCAGGTGACACAGGCCCGCAATGGAAGGAGAGGGACAGGCGCAGAATCAAGTGTCTGCCCTCCGGGGCCACATGGGACCATAAACAGAAAGGTCGGTGGTTAGAGGTGCCTTGGAATAGAGGCCTGGTGGCGTGATTCCCAGAGCACTTGGCCTTGACCATCCCCATGAGCAGCACAGGCAGGCTCGACCCGACCCCGCCACACGTCAGAATCCACTGCAGCTGTTTGCGGATTTTGCTGCTCTGTCTGGCCGCCCCCGGTAAAGGCCCCACACGCCCTTGGCTGGAGGGCTCTGTGTGACTCTCCCCCTACCTAACCTGAGCACACTGGGTCAAGACAAGGAGGGGGAGTCCCTGGCCTTGCAGTGGGGGAGGGAGCTGAGCCTTTTAGCCAAGAAAGGTCACAGGGCAAGAGATGATGGGGATCAAGAGAGTTAACGCAGCAGGCTCGAGGGAGCCAGGGTCGCCCCCACTCAGGGCAGATGGCCATTGGCAGAGCCACTGAGAGTCAAGGTGCTCACACCCTTCACCCAGCGCTCACACTTCTAGAATTCTCAAAGGAGCCGAGGGAGCAGCACGGGCCAGGACTCCCTGCCTGCTGGGTGCAGGCTTCAGACCCAGGGAGACTCTAAACCCACCTCAGCAGGGGCTGAAGGGAGCGGGCCCCTGCAGGTGCCAGGAGGGCTGAGCAGGAAAGATGTCTTCCCTGTGAAAGGTGAGAGTGTGGATGTGCCTGTGTGTGTGTGTGTGTGTGTGTGTGTGTTTGAGTGTGTTGGGCATTTGTTTGAGTGAGCGTGCATGAGAACATGTGAGCTGTGAGATTCTGAGTGTGAGCATATGGGAGTGTTAGCATGTGAGCTGTGTATGAGTGAGGGTATGAATATAAGCATGGGTAAACGTGTCTGAGTGTGCGAATGTGTGTCTGTGTCACGTGTGAATATGTGTGTGTAAGCATGTATGACTATACATGCATGTGCATATGAGCAAGGTTGGTGGGTCAAACCCACCAGCTGCTGCTCAGGAGAAAGATGAGGCTGCCTGCCCCCGTAAAGACTAGAAGCCCCTACATAGGACCACCTGTGAGTTGGAATTAGCTCGGTGGTAGTGGGTTACTGTGAGTGTGTGTAAACATGCACATGCACGTGTGTGTGTGGTGTCTACATAACATCTCAGGCACATTTCCAGATGTGGGGAAACGTCTGCAGGCTGCACACACCTGATCTTCTCTGGAGGAGAAGACAGACTGTGCTTTATATGCTTCTGGGTTTTGTTTATTTTCTGTAACACGCACGTGTCGCTCGCTCACTCTCTCTCACACACACTTCTTCCGCTGTGAAAAGAAAAAGCCTCAGCCCGTAGTTGCTCCCCTCCTCTGGGGAAGGGGAGCAGGCGATGGCTCTCTCGTCTTCCGGGAGCCGGCCTGAGCCTCCTCTCCTGCCCACAGCCCATCCCTGCTGACCAGGGGCACTGTCTGTGTTGTCCTAGCCCCTTCTCCCACCCTTGCCCATGCCCTGCCCAGGGCACAGGCAGGGGTTGGCTCTTTGTCCACAGGAAGCTGTCCTGTAGCCCCACCTGCCCCAGCCAGGCTGATGTGGCAGTCCTGCCCTCCCAGCCCATCCTCGGTCCTCCCTACACCCCTACCCCACCCACACCCCACTTGGTTTGGGCGTGATCTGAGATGGGGAGACCTGAAACGGAGGGAGCTGGAGAGCTGGGGCCCTCCCCCTTCCTGCCAGTCTGGATGCAAACGAAGAGGAAAAAAAGCAGACATCAGAATGCAGGCGCATTCTCCCTGCTCCAGTGCTGCCTCAATAGATAGTCCACAAGGGGGTGGCTGTAGCAAACA